TTTGCCGAGATTCCAATCGAGGCATACAACTTCGTAGTTGTTTTAGATCGACTTCGTAGTCGTGGGCTTCGTAGCCTTTGCCGAGATTCCACTCGAGGCATACAACTTCGTAGTTGCGTTAGATCGACTTCGTAGTCGTTGGCTTCATAGCCTTTTGCCGAGATTCCACTCGAGGCATACAACTTCGTAGTTGTTTTAGATCGACTTCGTAGTCGTAGGCTTCATAGCCTTTTGCCGAGATTCCACTCGAGGCATACAACTTCGTAGTTGTTTTAGATCGACTTCGTAGTCGTTGGAGTCAATCGACTTTATAGCCGTTTCGAAAAATTTGATTTTTCGAGTAATCATAATGATGCCGACATGAAAATGTAAGAAACACAATCTTAAACATAAACTTGGGAGTCATTGCATTACTGAATTTGATTAAGCATTGCTCAGTACAAAAGAGTTCAAAATACTATTCTTAGTTCAAACTACTATTCTTAGGCATAAAAACGCTTGAGATGGATTACGTGCCAAGATCGCGGCAACTGTCGTCCCTCGCCATCCTCGAGCTCATATGCACCTCTCTCGAGCACTTTGGTGATGGTGTAAGGTCCTTCCCAATTAGCTTCAAGCTTCCCGACGTGTTTTAGAGCGTCTGCTCGTTTGAGGATGAGATCTCCAACTTGAAATCGTCTGGTGTGGACTTTCCTGTCGAAGGCTGCACGCATCTTCTGCTTATATTCCATGGATCGCACCCAAGCCTCCTCTCGTCCTTCTTCTATCATGTCGAGGGCCTCTTCGACCATCTCCCCGTTCTTCTTTTCCTCATAAAATGTCGATCTGTGCGAATTTAAGCCAACTTCGATAGGCAGGAGTGCATCCATTCCGTAAACCATGTGAAATGGCGACTGGCCTGTTGAGCTTCTTGGGGTCGTCCTATAAGCCCATAGGACTGTTGTCAGCTCATCGACCCAAGCACCCGATGCTCTCTCCAGTCTCTTCTTCAATCCTTGGAGAATTGTTCGATTAGTCACCTCGACCTGTCCATTAGCATGGGGGTGTGCGACCGAGGCGAACCTTTGTTTTATTCCCATGTCGAGACACCATGCTTGAATTCGTTTCGCCTGGAACTGAGTTCCATTGTCAGAAATTAGCAACTTCGGTACTCCGAATCGACAACAGATATTGTTAAACAGGAATTGGATCATTTTTTCCTCCGTAATTTTCGCCAATGGTTCCGCTTCGACCCACTTGGTAAAATAGTCGACAGCGACTACTAGGAACTTTCTCTGCCCCGTCCCCATCGGTAGTGGTCCTACCAAGTCGATTCCCCATTGCGCGAAGGGGATCGGGGTGTTTATGGTCGTCATGTACTCGGCGGGGATGTGCGTGATTTGCCCATGTCGTTGACATTTTTCGCACTTCTGAACCAGCTGCTCTGCCATCGCTCGCATCTTTGGCCAATAATATCCTGCTCGCAGGGCTTTGCCTGCCAAGGCTCGTGATCCTATATGTGCTCCGCAACATCCTTCATGTATTTCTTTCAAAACATAATTTCCATCGTCTTCGGAAGCGCATCGCAAGTGAGGCCCAACCAGAGATTTTTTGAACATGACCCCGTCGACTTCAAAGTATTTGCTTAGATATCGAGCCACCCTTTCTGCCTCCTACTTATCTCCCATAGGAACTCGACCCTACAGGAGTTCATGAATTGACTTTCTCCAGTCGTCCTTTTCTTCGACTTCCATCGTTTCGCCCAACACGCTTCCTTCTAAGTGCATGGTGGTGATAGAACTTCCCATCTTCCCTTCATTCGAGCTCGCTATTCTCGCGAGCCAATCTGCTCGTTTGTTTTCCTCTCGAGGGATTTGCGTTAGTTCAAACCTCTCCAGACCCTGCACAAGGCTTTGGATTTCTTCGACATATTTCATCATTCGCTCTTCTTTGATTTCGCAACTCCCCAACACTTGTCCAACAACTAATTGCGAGTCGGAATGCGCCATGACTTCTGACGCTCCTCCGCCAATTGCAAGTTGAATTCCTTTGATTAACGCTTCATACTCGGTTTCGTTATTCGAGGCCTTAAATCCCATTCTAATAGCAAAGTCCAGTTGCTCGCCTTCGGGTGGGACGAGAATGATTCCAAGACCTGATCCTTTGGCCGCCGATGACCCATCGACGTGGATGACCCATTTCTTTTCTTCCCCCTTGGTACCTTCTTGGATGAAATCTGCTAGGGCCTGGGCCTTTATGGCTCGTCTTGGTTCGTACTTATTCGCTCAGCTCGACTGCCCATTTGACGAGTCGACCCGATACCGTGGGCCGGCCCAGTGTCTCTCCTAGTTGAAAGTTCGTCCTGACTAACACCACATGGTTCAAGAAATATGGCCTTAGCTTTCTAGTCATTATCACCAGTGTCAGAATATCTCGTCTCCGCACCCTGCAGAACTCGACTGGTGTAGTAAATTGGCTGTTGGACACCTCCTTCTTCTCGTAATAACACTGAACTTAGTGATACCAAACCCACAGATATATAAAGTACCAACTCGTCGCTGGGCTCTGGTTTTGTCAACAAGGGTAGCTCGCCCAAGAATTCCTTTAATTTTTCGAAAGCCATTTGTGCTTCGTCACTCCATGAGAAGGTCGACTTCCTTTTCAGCAATTTGAAGAATGGGAAGCTTTTTTCTGTGGCCCGAGCAATGAACCTGCTCAGCCCTGCAATTCGTCCCGTCAGAACTTGTACATCTCTTATGCTTCTTGGTGGGGCCATGTCGAGTATGGCCTTCACTTTCTCCCGGTTCACCTCGATTCCATGCTCTGTGACGATATATCCCAGGAATCGTCCTGCCTTTACTCCAAAGGCACACTTGTTTGGGTTCAGCTTCATCCCGAACGCCCTAAGAGTTTGAAATGTTTCCTTTAAATCGTCTGGGTGTGAGGTCGAGGCTTTACTCTTCACCAAGATGTCGTCCACATAAACCTTGATATTTGGCCCGATCTGAGATTTGAACATTCGATCCATCAGCCGTTGGTAGGTTGCTCCAGCATTCTTAAGTCCAAAAGGCATGACGACATAGCAATACGTCCCTTTATTCGACACGAAGCTCACCTTACTTTGATCTTCCGGGAATAACGGGATCTGATGGTATCCCTGAGATGCATCCATCATACTCAATAATTCGCAACCAGCCGTAGAGTCGACGAGCTGATCAATTCGTGGTAAAGGGTAATGATCTTTTGGGCAAGCCAGGTTTAAGTCACGGAAATCGATGCACATGCTCCATTTGTTTAGTGCCTTTCTTACCATCACGGTGTTGGATATCCACTCGGGAAATTGGATTTCTTTGACATGTCCTGCCCGCAACAACTTATCCACCTCGACTTCAATTGCTTTGTCGATTTCTTCCCCGTGACGTCTAAGTCGCTGTTTTACTGGCTTTCTGAGGGGGTCGACATTGAGTTTATGCTCCATAATAGCGGGGTCGATCCCTGTCAACTCCTCAGGGGTGAAGGCAAAGACATCCCTGAACTCCTTTAGTAGTGCGATCAGCTGGTTTCGTAGCTCGACTTTCAGATCTTTCCCGACCTTAGTGGTCTGTTCCTTTGTTTCTCCGATTTGTATCTCCATTAGCTCCCCGTGGGGTTCGAGATCGCTATTCTTTGGCCTTTTCTCGCTCATCATTGGCTTCTTTCCCTCCCTAACTTCGGCCCGTTGGTTGGTTTTTACAGCGATTTGATAACAAGTTCTCGACAGCTTTTGATCGCCTCGAGCTTCTCCAACTTGGTCTCCGACTGGGAACTTTAGCTTCATATGGTAGGTCGATACTACCGCCCGGAATGCGTTAAGTGCTGGCCTCCCCAGAATCACATTGTAAGCTGACTCGACATGAACCACCACGAATCTCACCATTTTCACCTTCCGCAAGTCACCTTCCCCTAGAACGACAGCGAGCATGGTTTCGCCTAAAGGGGCGACCTCTGACCCGTTGAAACCGAATAGTGAGGTATGAAGGGGTGTAAGCTGTATGTCGAGTTCCATCCTTTTGAGACAATCGTAAAAAATCACATTTACAGAACTCCCAGTATCGACGAACACTCTCTGCACCTTATATCCCGATATTTGGGCTGTTATCATCAATGCATCGTTTTGAGGCCTCTCAACTTCTCCTGCATCTGTCGGGCCGAAGTTTATTACCGGTCCGTTCTCATCGACCTGTTGTATCTCGACTTTTCCATGGCGCCCTCAGGCATACGCCTTCCTTGCTCGATTCGAATCCCCATCAAATGATCCTCTAAATATCATATGTATGGTTCCCCTTTTCTGTGGGAGCTCCTCTTTCTCTGGCGTTCTCGCCCTTTTGCGAGGGATCTTGCTCCTTTCCCTCCTTCTGCTCGACTTTTCCCGGTCCTTATATATGAATTCCTTCAAGTGTCCTGCCTTAATCAGCCTTTCGATTTCGTCCTTAAGGTGCCTGCAGTCGTCAGTACTGTGACCGTAGTCTTTGTGGAATCGACAGTATAGATTACTCTTTGGTCTTGTTGGTCCGTCCTTTCTCGTCTTGGGCCATCTGACAACATTGTCATGAATCTCTTTTTCCATCACCTCCAGAATTCGCGCTTGAGGGGCCGACAAAGGGGTGTATTGAGTCGGCCTCCAACCCCTAGGTCACCCCTCTCTCTCTGCTCGCGGAGACCCCTTTCTCTCCCCAGCCAAGAAAATTCTTTTCTCCCTTCTCTCCTCTCGAGGGTCA